ATCTGTACAACTATCATTCAAATCTTTTAATATAAAAATACCTGCAGAGAATAACCAACCCAAACACAAACACAGCCATCTGAAATTCTTAAGCAAAGACTGAAACACAACATACAACTATTCTGAAAGGATTATTTACAAGCAGTTTCTCTGCACACTATTCAGCCTTCAGGATCACCTCCAGGTCCAGGTTTACTTCTCCTTCTACACAAGAGACAGATATAAAATAAGCAGACAGACAGTTATACAGGAGAACTATAGACAGCATCGATGAATTTTAAAAATGAAATTTGAGAGTGTGATTAACAAAAAAATATTTTATTTACCTTATTCTCTAATTCAGTGTCACTGGAGTCTAAATGAAAACAAAAATTAACATGCTTGGATATTTAATACATTCAAGGGCATTTCATATAACAAATACAATTCTAGTCTATATACTGTAATATGGTAATTATTTTTTACAAAGTAACAGGTCATTTTATCATCAGTTCACTTGTAAATAGCTCTTCTGTGTTGCAGTGATGTTAGAAAACCGACTTACCAGAAGAGCTGAACGTCCAGTAGAGAAACTTTATCATGCCGTAAAGCAGCAGAGCAACAGCGACCATCGCCATAGAGTCCTCAATAGAAGGAGCACTGACACCTGTATGAACAACATATCACATCAAGAGTTGCAGAACATTCTGACTGACAGAAATATTCTTTTGGAAATTAAAATATGAATCAGACTGTCATAAAGACTCTGAAATAACCACCACTGAAGTGGACGTGAAATTATTCAGGTTTAATGATTGATCATAAACACTGTCTGAAAAAGATGTGTCAGTCTATGACAGTAACACTCACCAATCACACTGAGTGTCGCAGTAGCTCGCCGTGTTCCTCCGTCGTGTTTGGCTACACAGGTGATGTCACCACCCCGACCGAGCCTCATCTTCCCCGAGTCCAGCTCCAGACGACTGCTCTGACTGAAGGTGCCATCAGACGCCTGTCTGTGACCCGTTACACCACCCTGACCCAGAGAGCGGGACTTCCCATCAGCCCCGGTGAACTCCCAGCCCAGATCCAGAGTGTGAGGAGCAAAACCAGACGCTTCACACTGGATCAGCAGCAGCTGCCCAGGAACCAGCAGAGGAAGAGGAGAAGGGTAGATGGAGAGAGATGGAGGCTCTGGAAACAAAAGAGTGCATTTGATAAATCAAATAATAATCTATTCAAATCTGACTTGAGTATGTCAGGATCAGAGCATTTAATCATCTCACCAACTATCTCCAGGTCCACGGCTACCTGAGCCAGCAGATGTGGAAGATACACTGTGCAGATGTAAGTTCCTGAGTGTCTCACTTGAGATTCTTCCAGAATCAGAGATGCATTTCCTGTTTCATAGAGGCCTGTGATGTCAATATCGGCTCCGGTCTCTGATGTCTCTGCAAACCGATCGTTCTTGCCATCGTAAGCGAGGACCAGCCGTCCTTCACCCCGAAACTGATAACGCCACTCGACAGAGAATCCAGAGCCGTGAACTGGAGAAGACGGGTCGACCCAGAACCCACAGTCTAACAGAACCGGTTCTCCCAGTCTAGAGCGGACCAGAGGAGTTTTACTGGAGACACTGAGAATGACTTTAGGAATGAGAGAAATATAGGAAGCATAGTGAGCAAAGGAAGTGTTTAACCATCATTAGAACAGAAGGGCTAAAAAGAATGTAGGTCTTATTTAATGAATTAAAATATAAGATACATGAACTGCAAAATCAAATTGGAATGCAAATAAAATTTAAAACAGCAGATTATGTATAACTATGTATAATAATAATTATTAATGTTATTTATTATATAATATACATCATTATTATGTATTATGCAAATATATGTATATATTATTATTTTATGTAATGTATGTAATATTTTCTTCTGCCAATATATGAGCAATTTTGTTTTTTTGTACCTTTTGGCTCTTTAGAAGCTGAAGGCGCTCTCATAATATTGGACAATGTCAGCTGCTCGTCAAGCCCTTGTGCCGCCACTGAGAACCAATCAGCTTGCAGGTAGACTGGACTTTGGGCGGAGTCAGTGAGAGCTGATGCCCATCTGACCATGGAGGCGTGAGGCATGAAAGGGTTAATCTCACACTTTGGTTTGTTCACGGAGCCTTTGGGAGGGTTCAGGGCGGCACTACAGAACGTGCCAGCTGGATCTGGAGGAGAACAGAGCATTAAAGTTTAGTTATCATCAAATATCTGTTTTGTACTCTAGAACAGGAGCTATAGTGTCATCCTGTCGTCTGTGACTGTAGCGTTGGATCTGGTTGGTGTAGAAAAGAGATTTAAATACAGTATTTATATTTGTCAGGCAGTATCATCCTACTATGCTATATGAAACATAACAGTAGATACAGACAACCAAGTGAGCACAACATTAAACAAAATATTTTTTGACATGAAGATGGACTTTAGTGAGTTATTATTGAGATTATATATTCCACAAATGTCTTTAAAAGCACATGCTGTATTGACACTAACCAGTCACATAGTAAACTCTGGACGGGCTGATGTCTGCAGGAGGATGAAGATCAAATATGGTCTCTTCACTGTAGGCTTCAGTTCTGATGAACATTAGAGATTTCTCTTGACTCATTGGTACTGAGAAACCTCCTCCATGACCGGGCTTCTCCTGGACAAACCAGCACTCCAGAACCGGACACCCAGAACCAGAAGCTGCAAGATAGGACAGATAATGCAAGATTATAAATATTATGAGAGTTCTGTTCATTGATCACACACACAATTTAATGTATTAAGCTGTAGTCTTGATTACAAACAGGCAGCAAAAACTTACCACGAAAACACAATGCAAATGCGATGATAGATATCTTGTATATGATCGAAATCTCAGACATCGTTGCTTTAAAAGTTTAAATGATATCTCTGTGCGGCTGTAACTTTTGGCGTGTTAAAGATCATTCGTCGGATTTCCCCAAAATCTTTCGTGCAGCTTCCAGCGTTTCACTTTCAGTTTAACTGCGTGTTTACGCGCATGCGCTTTAACAGCAGGAACAATTTTTGTGACATTTGAAAATACTCCGATATCGTGTGACATATTTTTCATGTATCATCATGTAAACATCGTTTAACCTCTCAAAATAGAAAAAAGCACCGAATCATACATTTCTCTAATACGTGTATTTTAGTCTTTCTAGTCTCCACTAGATGGCGCTCTGAGCCAACAATAGTAGCCTTTTCCAAACTCACCAGTCACCATAGATGGTTTTGGTTTTTGCCAAGATATCACGTGGTTTCTCGGAACAGAGTGCAGTTAAGGACACAGGGAAATACCATATTATTGTATCTAGTATTGTGTTGACAACAGATAGCCGAACCTGTATAGCTGGTGTAGTTTTATGCATTGCGTTGGCTATTTGAATATCATGAAGACTATACAACTTGCTCAAAATTTATTTAAGGATTTGTAAGTGGGGTAGGCTACATGAAAAGTGCTGTATATAGATGTCAGTTCCAAGCACCATACTAAATTTAAATTTGTTTTTTTGCCTGTATTTATTATTAAGTTAGTTAATGGTTTGTGAACATAATATAGGCTATCTCATCTCATTTGTTAAGATTAGTTATTGTATTCATGAACATAAACAAACACATGAGCTATACATTTGCAGCAGTATTTATCAATCTTTGTTAACATTAGGTAAAAATAAAAATACACTGGTCATTGTTTTTTCATGTTAGTTCACAGTGCATTGACTAATGTTAACAATTACAATGTTTTAGTAGACTAAATGCTGAAATTGACATCAACTGATTAATGAATGCTGAAGAAGAAGCTATTGTCCATTCTTAGTCCATTTTAACAAATGTTAACAAATGATAAGATGAAACCTTATTGTAAAGTGTTACCAATATGACTAAATACAAACAAGGTAAACTAATGCAATGCACCCAAGTGAGTCTAATGAAGTGAGTTGTAACTTATAACACTATTAAAAACAAATTGGTTTATATTTTGTACATGCATTTATTTCTTTATTGAAATTAATTGTGCAAAATAATTTGTACAAACTCCAATTAACCTCTTTCCCCAACCCCACCCCATTTCATTTGATTCAGTGTTATTGCTCAGTCTTTGTGGATCAGTGGAAGTAAATAGGGAAATAGGGTTACAACCCTCCCCTGCTCAGACATGATGTTTAGTTTTAGGTGAAAGTTTTGAGTAAATGTTATATAAAAGATTAATAGAAAAAAAAATCTTGATAAAGATCACACCAGCAAGCTTTAACCTGATCAGAAAATCAGATAAAAAATAACCCTGAGGTGAAATGATGACTTTATGCTATTTATTGTTTGTATGTTTTTTTATTTATGTTTATGTACTTTTAAGAATTACAACTTTGTCTGTCTCCTCCACACCTTCTCCTGCAGAGAATATTAGGCCTATTGTTATTATTATTATTTTTTTTTTTTTTACAGAAGCGTGGATTTATCAATAAATACAGTAAACGATCATTTGGAACAGATGGCCAGTCCTTTTTTCTTTTTCTCTCTCTCTTTCTTTTTAGTTGAAGAAATATCAAAACAAATAATACAATACAATACATTTCAAATACGTGGGGGAGGTATTAACAGTATTATAGGAATACACTACTACTAGAGTGTACATGCTTGTAAAATTATAGCTTTTTGTTTCTTCGAGGGCAATATTGACTCAATATAATGCTTCACTTCATTCTTAAATGCAATAAAACATGTTTTTCCCCTGAAATTTTCATTTATGAATGTGAAATTTAGCCATCAAAAAAAAAGCATGTCATTTGTGGAGGAAAACCTGAGCCCTGTTATACATATTCACTTAATTAATATTTTGCTTTCACTTCCATGATCAACCCAGTTAAGGAAGTACCTCGTAGTAACTTGTGACGTTGAAGGAATATGGAATATCTATTGGCTGGAATTTCAGAGACTAATAGCCGTTCGCTCAGAGTCCTCAGGCACATTTCACCAGTTTACAGGAGACTACTGAGACGTCTAGAACAAATATTCAGTCATTTCTCTAGAACGATTCTTACTGACGAAACTGTTTCTCAGGCGACAGCAATGATGCGATCTGTTGTGCTTTTGCTCCTCGGAGCTCATCTTGCCTATGCTGGTGAGTACATTATTTTAATATGACAGTAGAAGCTGCATTTATTTGTCAGAGTGAAGTTTGGCGAGTTATTCTATTACACTAAAAATACCTCTATGAACAGCCCATGTTGAGACTCAACATGAGTCAAATTTCGTTTTTTGACAGTTTCCAAAATAGGTATTGGCCTACGCATTTAGCATATTTTCATATGATTCTAAAAAACATATTAGCCTACCTAACTTGGAACTTAGTGCATTATGTATGACATTTACATTTTGATGAATATGTATCCTTTACTGAAAAAATATTCTTAGCTAAAAAATAATAATTATAGGCCTACTTACTGAGAAAATGGAATTCTTGAGTATTGTAAATTAAAGGAAAGGAAACGGAAATTAAAGGCAAATAGCATGTAGTACCAAATTATTTGTTTGTTGGTTTGAGTTTTTTTTTTTAAAACTCAAAATGTTTTTTGTTTAATTAAAAAACACATAGCATTATAGATATATCATGCTATAGTTTGTTGTATCAGATGCTTCAGTTTCATTTCTGACCTGAGAAACGGTTTTCTACCCAGAGAACGATGACGAACTAGGGCCTACTTGCTAAAGCAACTAAACAGTGGTCTACTTTTAATTAGAAATAAGCCGTATAATATATATATATATATATATATATATATATATATATATATATATATATATATATTTCCATGTATTGGAATAAAGCCCATTAATAGCAGAGAAAATCAAAATAAGGAAATCCTGCTGTTTAAAATAACCAATTATCAACTGGAAAAAAATCGCCTGAGAGAAATATACTTTTTGTCCACTAGATGGCACTATAAGGCCTCGAATCAACCCTTCCTTCCTGCCAATTATAATAAAAACTTTTCTGTGAAATAGACTAATTGAATATTACAAATCATTATTGTTACAATTTTGATTTTTTCATTCTATTATTGCAGCTTTTTAAATAATACATTTAGTAATGTGTCTTATTTTACATTGAGAATTGAAATTTGTGAATCTGTATATAACTTATCCACTGTTTACTGTATTAATATGCATGTCTTGTTATCTGTATTCTTGTGTTATTGGACTCAGAGCTTCTTGGCCAATAAAGCTGTTTCTGAGTCAATATTATTCTAATTAAAAGCACATCTTGCTATATATTATATGCATTTTTAGTCACATAACTGACAAGGTCCCATTAAATGTGGTAACTCAGAAAACGTTGGGTTACATTTAATTTTAGTGTTGGAGTTACAGTGTAATTTTACATTTAAGTACTCAGTAGTAAAAATTAAGTAAATGTAGCCTACTTACTATAGGGTTATGAGTAGGGTGTGGTTTAGGGTTAGTAAGTAAATATGCAACATTTATATATGCAACTACATGTAACATGTATACTAATATAAAGTGTTACCAAAATTTTAATATGAACAACTCGATGGTAAACTTTGTAGGCAAACTTTAAGTTGGCTTGGAAAAGCCTAAGTTTGAAAAAGTTTTAAACTGTTCTAGCATGGTTTAACATGATTTACCATATTTCTAGTATCCATTTTGTCTAGCATTTATACCACATTGCTAGCATGATTTAGCATGTTTTAACATGACCATGGATGGTTGGATGGATCATCAAGATTAGTTAGAAAGAAAGAGAGATTGGAGATAGATACATAGATGGATTAGTTAGAAAGATAGATAGATTAGTTAGAAAGAAAAAATGATAGATTAGTTAGAAAGAAAGAAAGATAGATTAGTTAGACATAAAGAAAGATTAGTTTGAAAAAGAAAGAAAAGTCAAAAAGAAAGAAAGAAAAGTAAAAAAGAAAGAATGGTTAGAAAGGAAGAAAATAAAAAAGAAAGAGTTAGAAAGAAAGAAAGAAAGAAAGAAAGAAAGAAAGAAAGAAAGAAAGAAAGAAAGAAAGAAAAAGGATTAGTTAGAAAGAAAGAAAGAAAGAAAGAAAATGGATTAGTTAGAAAGAAAGAGATTAGTTAGAAAGAAAGATTAGTTTGAAAAAAGAAACTAAGAAAGAAAAGTAAAAAAGAAAGAAAAAAGAATAGTTAGAAAGGAAGAAAAGTAAAAAAGAAAGAATAGTTGGAAGAAGGAAAGAAAGAGAAAAATAGAAAGAAAGACAGAAAGAAAGAAAGAAAGAAAGAAAGAAAGAAAGAAAGAAAAAGAAAGAAAGAAAGAAAGAAAGAAAGAAAGAAAGAAAGAAAGAAAGAAAATGGATTAGTTAGAAAGAAAGAGATTAGTTAGAAAGAAAGATTAGTTTGAAAAAAGAAACTAAGAAAGAAAAGTAAAAAAGAAAGAATAGTTGGAAGAAGGAAAGAAAGAGAAAAATAGAAAGAAAGAAAGAAAGAAAGAAAGAAAGAAAGAAAGAAAGAAAGAAAGAAATGTTAGGAAAAAATAAAGAATAGTTATAAAGAATGAATGAAAGAAAGAGATTAGTTAGAAAGAAAGATTAGTTAGAAATAAAGAAAGATTAATTTGAAAAAAAGAAAGAAAAGTAAAAAAGAAAGAATAGTTAGAAAGGAAGAAAGGCAAAAAAGAAAGAATAGTTGAAAGAAAGAATTTTTATGATTTTTTATATTATTTTTTAAGAAAACTGAAGCTCAAATCAGTCTGAAAAGGTCAGAACAGTCTGAAGGTCTGACCCGAGTTTGGAGCTCGTATAGCTTTAACGGTCTAGGAGGAGATACAGTCTAAAATTTGGCTCAGAAGAAGAGGAAGAAGAAGAAGAAGAAGAAGTTTAAGTACATCAGTAAATTGGCTTTTCCAAGCCAACCTAATTACATATGAAGCAGAAAGAGTTTGTATCAAATGAAATATTGCAATATAGATAATTGCTTTTAACTATAGTTGTAGCAATATAGATAATTGTTTATTATAGAATTCATTTTTTTAATAAAGTGTAATGATCAATCTCAATATTCATGTAATTCTGACTTATGTTAATTTTGAACAAGCTGTATGCAAGGATATCTAATTTGAGATGAATACTAAAATTACAATCTCTCTGTGTGTGTCTCCGTCCGCAGGAACACACTCTCTGAAATACTTCTACACTGCTGTGTCTGGAGACATTGACTTCCCAGAGTTCACTACTGTTGGTCTGGTGGATGAAGGGCCGTTTATGTACTTTGATAGCAATGCAATGAAAGCTGTGCCGAAGACAGAGTGGATGAGACAGAGTGTGGGAGCAGATTACTGGGACAGTGAGACTCAGACCAGCATTGGCAACCATCAGAACTTCAAAAACAACATCCAGATCGCAAAGGAACGCTTTAACCAGTCAAAGGGTAAGTTAATAACAAAACCAACAGACAAAGCCAATATGATCAAATACAGATTTTGGTATATTTTTTCAGATTCTCAAGAGCATGTAAATGGTTAACTCATACGTAATTTAATGAATAATCACTTACAGATGTAAGTACAGCATTCCTTTATTCTGTTATTGTCTGCACAGAATGATTTACTGTTAGCCCAAAATAATGTGAAGCTTCAATCATTCTTTTGCTCTAAATCTCAAACTCCGACCATCTTACACCGATAAATAATGCAGCAATGTTGTTGATAGAAGGAAATGTCTGTTTGTTTCTTTTATTATTTTCAGTATTTATTATCAGTCAAACACTAATATCCATACAAATGCATTTAAAATAAGCGTACACATTCATTTGTTTATTTGGGTTTCAGTTTAGCATGTTTAGTATGGGACAGAAGGAGAAGAGTTCATTACACCGTTCGATCTCTCTTTCTAAATAATCTTTATTTATTGATTTATTTCTAACTAATATTTCTTTCTTTAAATAATCTTTTTATTTCTGTCTAATCTTTCTTTCTAACTAATCTTGATTTCTAACTAATCTTTATTTCTTTCTAATATTTCTTTTTTACTAACTAATATTTTTCTTTCTGACTAATCTTTTTTCAATCATTCTTTATAATCTTATCTTATCCGTCTTATCTTTCTTTCTTTCTTTCTAACTAATATTTTTCTTTCTTACTAAATAATCTTTTGCTTTCTTTCTTTCTTTCTTTCTAAATAATCTTTTTTTCTTTCTTTCTAACTAATATTTATTTATAACTAGTCTTTTTCTTTCTTTCTTTCTTTCTTTCTTTCTTTCTTTCTTTCTTTCTTTCTTTCTTTCTTTCTTTCTTTCTTTCTTTCTTTCTTTCTTTCTTTCTTTCTTTCTTTCTTTCTTTCTTTCTTTCTTTCTAAATAATCTTTTTCTTTCTGTCTAATCTTTTTTCTTCCTTCCTTTATAATCTTTCTTTCTTTCTAACTAATCTTTATTTATTTCTAGCTAATATTTTTCTTTCTTACTAAATAATCTTTTGCTTTCTTTCTTTCTAATCTTTCTTTCTTTCTTTCTAACTAATTTTTCTTTCTAACTCGTCTTTCTTTCTTTCTAAATAATCTTTTTCTTTCTGTCTCTTTTTTCAACCTTTATAATCTTTCTTTCTTTCGTTCTTTCTTTCTTTCTTTCTAAATAATCTTTTTCTTCCTGTCTAATCTTTTTTCTTTCTTTATAATCTTTCTTTCTTTCTTTATAACTAATATTTTTCTTTCTTTCTAAATCTTTTTCTTTCTGTCTAATCTTTTTTTCTTTCTTTCTTTCTAACTAATATTTTTCTTTCTAATCTTTTTTCTTTCAACTAATCTTTCTATCTATCTATCTATCTATCTATCTATCTATCTATCTATCTATCTATCTATCTATCTATCTATCTATCTATCTATCTATCTATCTATCTATCTATCTATCTCTTTCTTTCTTTCTTTCTAACTAATATCTATCTTTATATCTGTCTATCATCTATCTCTTATCTATCTATCTATCTATCTATCTATCTATCTATCTATCTATCTATCTATCTATCTAATCTTTTCGTTCTTTCTAACTAATATTTCTTTCTTTCTTTCTAAATATATCTTTTCTTTCTAACTAATCTTTCTTTCTTTCTAAATATTTTTTGAAACAAACAAATTACAAACAGAAGCACAAATAAATGCAATAGAATAAAGATACAACTGAAATAAAGAGTAGAGTTTTTCAGGTAGATCTAACAGAAATGTTGAGGAACAGGAATACTACCAACTATAATTTTTACAATATTATTACAGAATTATAACAAAATTATTAACAGTTAAAACGATTGACTTTTTAAAAAATGTTGTTTTATGAATATTTATGACAGACTTCTGCAGATTTATTTATTTATATTTATATAGCCTTGTTCTAGTAGTGTGTAAAAGGCTCTGTGTTGTTTATTGCTGATCACACCTGCTGTAACCTCTCTCTCTCTCTCTCTCTCTCCCCCTCGAGCAGTTCTGGGTTGCTGTACTTTGCCAACCTGGCTTTTGCTTAAAAAAAAATTGTCTCACTTGCTGACAGTCTACAATGAAACAAATCATAAAGCAAATATAAACAGTTAAAAAAAATATTTAAATTAATATTAAGGTATATTAAAAGTAGTAAAAAATGATTAATTCTCATTTCCGAAACAGAAGTTCTCTCTACCGCAACTGGCCTTAAATGATTGCGGTGTATGAGATTGGTGTTACGGAGGACGAGGTACCTTGGTATGTTTTGTAAACAATACAGAAGCCATGATGACTTATTTACTCAGTGCATATAATTAGACATTAATGAGGTATAATTTTATAAAAAAAAAAAAAAAATGTAAATCTAACAATTTTCTAAATGCAGAAAACTACTTGCTTCGGGAATGATAATCAATATGTCATGTACACATTTTGACAAGCGAATATTTAACATTTAATTGAAGAAATATAAAGAGATCTTCTTACCTGGTAGCCATCTTGAAGGAACTAGCCCACGTGTTTCTTCATTCAATATCAAACTTTATTTAAATTCTGAATGTGCGTTTAAACAGTCCTCGAAAAATGATGCGGAGGATGAGAACATCAGTCACGGACACATAATTTTCCTACTTTTTTCATTATTATTATACATGAATTTTCAGTTAATTATTTTTCTGTCATCTGAAACAATCTAGTCGAACATCCATTTATTTTTTTCTGATTTTTATTTTATTTTAATTTGTTTAAATAACAATACATAACATACATTCAGTTAAGCTGGACGCATTACAGTATTGAGAATTTTCGCTGAAAATACAGTGAAATAGAAAAAAAAATTATTCCCACGTTGAAATTACACATTGTGCAAAGTAGAGATCAGTATTGTCTTTATTGTGATGCTTTTTTATATTACTAAATAACATGTTTAATATTTAAAATCATTAGTGACGTGTTGTTTTAAATCAACCAATCAATCTAATCAACTCCACTCCAACTTCCATTCTTCACGAAAGATGGATAAAAAGATGCTTGGGAAACAAAAACCTTGAAAAAATGATATATGACCCGCCAAATCCATGGCCGAATCACAGATGCTGATTCACACAGGACTAATATTATCACATGACCTCGGTGTTCAGTGTAATATGGTAGATCATTTGCGGGGAAATTTTTACAAATTTACAAATTACAGACATGGCTGATTCACACAGGATTAAGATCACAGATTACCTCTACAATCATGACAAATGACTAGAGGTCACCAGGTAACTCTAATCCCGTGCGAATAGTGCTTTATAGTCGGCGAGTGTTTAATGCATAGTTTCAGTCAGGATAGGTGGCTGTACAGAAGCGCACGACGAAGGAGATATATTTAAGGAGACTTTAAATATAGTAATCAAAACAATAAACAGAAGAATCAATGAGGAGGAACATAACCACAATCACACTGACGTTAAACAAAGCTAGACAATGAACAGACAGAAACACACCTGAACTGAACTAACACAATCATTTAGAAACCATAGTGACAAACGAGGAGAGAACTGAACTAATTAACAGAGGATGAACAAAGATGAACAGAGAAACAGATGCAAAAACAAACTCAAAACCTGACAGTTTTAACATCTGTTCAGATTTAAATAAGTATGTTATCCTATTTAAGAGGATTCATTTTACTGACTATCTTTTCCAATCAGACTTTTCCCCACAGCATATGATAAAAACTCTCAAAAATCCCATAATACTGACAGAATGGTCAAACTCAAATCGTCAAAAAAAGTCAAATGTAACCAGACACACACACATCTCTCTTTGGTGTTTCTGTTAGCAGACGCTCTGACTGTTGTGTTTGATAGAGCCTACAACAATTCTCTCATTTATTTCACAGAAATCTACAGTGACCATTTAATCAATAGATGCACGCCATTATGTGTATTATGTTTTTGTCAATCACAGTGTAGACTTTCCATTGGATTCTGATGTTTTTATACTGAGCTAATGATATTTTCTATAGGCTACCCTTAAAACCTAAACTTAAAGGGTTAGTTCACCCAAAAATGAAAGTTTTGTCATTTACTCACTCTCATGTCGTTCCAGAAGAATATTTATACCGCCTTTATAAGATAATCATCTTTTGGCCAAATTCTAAGGCAGAATCACATGCTTCTTTCACGGAGGATACAATCCCATAATGCATTGCATGAAATAATCCATATAGTTCTGAAAATTATAAAACAAAATAGTTTCATAGAATTAAAAACGGATTATTTTACACAATATCTGTGTATGCATATTTATGTTTATTACAGTATCACATTTGGCAATATGCTAACGACAAACTGAATGGATTGTGAGTTTGTACAGTTGAGCAGTGCTATATTAATGATGCATGTGTTCGCTGTCTATGTGTAGTGCATCCGAACCGGTCACTTATGAGTCTCCGTTTCATTCAGGATGCTGTCTATGTAGAGTGAGATTCAGCTCATTGTGTTTTAGATCAGAGTCCAGACGGACATACAGTGAATCAGAGCAGGACAGTGGAGCAGCGGCGCTGGTCTCTCTTATATGTGCTGTGTTAGACGCTGTCACTGAGAATCCCCACCAGACCTATAACCACCTTAACCAGCAGCTCCAGCAACTAGACCAGCAGTAACCCACAGAAACCATCCAGACCCAGCGCTTGAGTTCCTGCAGGTCTCAGCTGCTCTCGACAGGGTTTCACTGTATCTGAGTGCGGGAGAACGAGATGCAGAACCTCAGAAGAGAGACAGGACTCAGAGTAGTGAGACGGCACCCGACAGACAGACGCGGAGAGACAGACGGCCGGCAGATTCACAGGAGATCGACAGCTGACGGCTCGTCGTAATTAATGACAAACTGTCACGATGTTTGAATGGCTTTTAGTTCAGATGTCACGTGAGTCTCCACGGGTCCCCATTGTGTGTGCGAGGTTCAGACCCCACTGTT